CAAAAACAAAGATAATGCATACAAACAAAACTGCCATGGAGAAGGAAATATATGTTAATGAGGAAAGATTGGAATTGGTGAAAAATTTCGAATATCTTGGGTCACTGGTTACCAACAATGGTGACACAATGAAAGAAATTAAACGGCGACCATTAATTGCTCTTCAAAGACTAAAACAACTGAATAAATTATGGAATTGTACAGATAGAATTACAAAGGTCAGATTTTTAAGAGCATGCATCTTTCCCATTGCAACATACGCCTGTGAGACCTGGACACTTACTAAACAAGCGGAACAGCGCATAAATGCATTTGAATATAAATGTTACAGACAGGTTCTAAGAATATCTTGGGTAAAGAAAAGAACAAATGCATCCATACTTCAAAAGCTGAATATTGAAGAGGGTTGGCTTGTAAAGACAATAAAACAAAGAAAATTTAAATATTTTGGTCACTTGAAATATATATATATATATATATATTTCTATATATATATGTGTGTGTGTGTGTGTGTGTGTGCATGCATTTATGTACACGTGTGTCAGAGGCAGGTGTTCCTAGGTGCTTAGAACCTTATACTTTTTTCCCCAGTGTGCAACGTTGATCTCTTAATAAAGTCTAGATAGGTGTTACAAGGTAGAACCTCGAACTATTTACTCCCTGTCACTAATTACTGTCGCTACTTACTGTCACTACTTACTGTCACTACTTACTGTCACTAATTACTGTCACTACTTACTGTCACTACTTACTGTCACTACTTACTGTTACTACTTACTGTCACTACTTACTGTCACTACTTACTGTCACTACTTACTGTCACTACTTACTGTCACTACTTACTGTTACTACTTACTGTCACTACTTACTGTCACTACTTACTGTTACTACTTACTGTCACTACTTACTGTCACTACTTACTGTTACTACTTACTGTCACTACTTACTGTTACTACTTACTGTCACTACTTACTGTCACTACTTACTGTCACTACTTACTGTCACTACTTACTGTCACTACTTACTGTTACTACTTACTGTCACTACTTACTGTCACTACTTACTGTCACTACTTACTGTTACTACTTACTGTCACTACTTACTGTCACTACTTACTGTTACTACTTACTGTCACTACTTACTGTCACTACTTACTGTCACTACTTACTGTCACTACTTACTGTCACTACTTACTGTTACTACTTACTGTCACTAATTACTGTCGCTACTTACTGTCACTACAACTGGCAGGGCTTTTTCGGCGGTACGCAACGGTGCGCAGTTCCTGCACCTTTTTAGGCAATTTTTTTTCAGTGCTATTGTAATAGACCGGCGCCGGCACCTTCTTAGACACTTTGTGGTGTGTACCGGTACCTGTGGGCTCTATTTTAGGAGAGAGAAAAAAAACTAAATACTGGAAGGATTAGTAAAAACACCAGCGCCTTCAAATTATGAGTGGCGATACATTTGTGTGTAGCTGCAGTGTGATGGTATATCAAAGGTGTGTTCATATTGTTACTAGAGGTTAAATCAACCTCTGCTTTACTGATGACTAACCTACTGAGCCGCGAAATTGTATTCGTTTAACGCAGCGGTTTTCAGCCTGTTTCAAGGGCACCGCTTTCAGATGAGACCTCTTAGTCCCCCGCCCCCTTTCCATCTCTAATTTAAAAAAAAAATGGTGATTAGAAGGAGGTTAGGTTAGTTGCGTATCCTTTACAGGATGTTGCAGAACCAAACCCACAACAGCCCCTGGTTGTTGTGTGTTTTTTCTAGGCAAATTTACGTCCAGGCCCGCAGCTGGGATCGAACCCGGCATCCCAGCATTACAAAGCGTTCGCATCGACTTAACTACAAAGCCGACTTAGAAAGAGGACAATTGCTAAAAAAAAAAAATCCAAAGCACTGTTAAAATGAACTAGGAGGAGAAAATCCACACAAATAAAGGTGTCAGATAACACGTCTTGACTGTTTAGTTTATAATTTCTTTTTTTTTTTTTTTTTTTTTTTTTTTTTTTTCAAAATTCACAATCAAACTGAAAAAAAAAGTAAGATAATATATTATTATAAGTACAAATGAGCTTAATTTCAAAACTGCATGACACCCCTTGAAATTCGCTTGCAACTCCTAGCAAACATCCCCCCCCCCCCCCCCACCCCCGTTTTCTATCAAATCAACCTCTTTTCAAGGTTGAAAATCATAGGTCTAAATTGATCGCCTAAGATACTGTTTGGAGAGCTCTGATCTGCACCAAACGACGTTTACAGCGGTAATCTGAGATTGTATCGCTCGGTGTTCGTGGTATGTTTTAAAAAGTCAAGTCAAATTCTATTCTATTGCAGGGTTCCGAATCAAAATCCTCGTGGGTATAGCATGGGCTCTGTCTTGTATATTCGCCATCCCCGAGCTGATTCTGTTCGATGTGTCCAACGTACACGGAGGTCCCATGTGTAACATCGGAATGTCCTCGTTGCTGTGGTGGCAGGTATGGGCTAGTACCTGTGTGTCCTTTTAACCTTTTTGCTTATTTACTTATATTTACAAATGTTTCTTTTATTATTTATTTAGTTTTTAAGATGTGCCGGCCAGTTCCACGATGATCTCCCCAACGGACCGTGCCTATACACACTAGGTCACTTCTGATTGGTTGACCTTCAGTCACCCGACCTTCGCACACTGCTATAGGGGTGTTCGGCAATGCCGTTAATATCGCATGTTGTATATTTAAGCACACCAGCGCTTTTAACACCACAAAAACATTTAGAAACTGGGTTTAACACACAACCCAATTGAGAGTGCTGCGACATATGTCACAGACATTCTCTTTCTCTGAAAAAAAACGTAAATGCAAGACAAGCCAGAAAGGAAACATCATAGCTGCAACCCGTAACCCCCTGCACAGCAGACCAGTCTAAAATATTTATCAATGGAACGAGACCTAGTTTCTCTGGGGGGGGGAGGGGGGTTGGGGGAGGGGACTATCGGAGAACTAACTGATGTGTGTTGTACACTTACTTTTGTTGTACACTTTGTTGTAGTACACTGTAATTTCAAGAACCAAGTATTTAGGCCTAGGGTGCCTATTCTAGTACTCCGCTGGATATCTCCTTGATGGATGTGCTACAGTGTAGTCCTGCATACTATAACTGGCCCATTTGGCCCAGCATCATCTAACACAGTTGCTATCTTTACAAGTCAACAATAACGCTTGTGACAGGCCACATAAACTTTAATGGCATTAAAGTTACACGTCACAAGATGATGATGATTATTCAATAAAACGTACGATAATAACTCCCTATTATCTACTCTGAGAATATAAAAGAATTACACTCTCAATGGACTCCTGCCATTATAATAAATAAATAGACATTAAACTGTCTCCCGTGTAAGTACGGTTAATTAAATAAAACCTCACAAAGAGGGAACGTCTGCTTCGAACAAGGGAAATATCTTGACTGCCCAATCCTTTGTGTTCTGCAGGAGCCTTTGTGTTAATCGCCCAGCATTCAATTAGCTGGTATCCCAGGTAACAGACCCGACCGGTGGCCGCTGTGTGAACCTTTCACCTGCGCTGTGACCACTAGAAGAAACTAGAAGAAACTTTAACTCTTTGGACAATAAGATTACAACAATGTGCCATCTCCCGAATGTAGAGTCGTACACTAATTCAGGCAAAAATGTAGAATGGGGTCGGGAAATGATATAAAATTATGCATGCATAAAGCGGACTGCCGTGGTGAAGCGGCTAGACGCTTCACTGCGGATCTTGAGGTGGTTTCGGGTCCTGACTGAGCCATAGCTTTTTTTTTTTTTTTAATTAGAAATGACTTTGTCTCCCAAATAGGCCCAGTCTTGAATGGGTATCAGGTACAAGTCCTGGGAAGTAAAAGCGGCCAGCGTGGTGCTGACCACATCACTCACCAATTGTTAATTGATCTATAAGTAAAAGTACAAAAAAAAGTAAAGGACCCTTTCCATGCCTTTAGGCGTATAGGGCATATAGGGCATATAGGGCTAGACCTATATTTTTATAGACCAACGGCACAAGATGGGTGATGTGGTCAGCATCACGCCGGCCGCCTCTACTTCCCGGGATTGCACCCGGTACCCACTCAAGGCTAGGTCGACCTGGGAGCCAAGGTCATTTTTGAAGAAAAGTCCGTCTCCACCAGGGAGCGAACCCACGACCTTCCGATCCGCGGCGCGCGTCTAGCCGCTCTGCCACGGCGACTCCCTAATTGATCTATACAGTATCGGTACTGCCCTGTATGCTCCATCCGTCTCAAGGTGTGGAAAAGAGTCAGTTGCCATCATATAGAAAGCGCAGTTTTCATTGCACTAAAAAATATATGAAAATCAAAATATTAAATTAAAACTAGCAATACAGTAAACATATTTTGCCATCATTCCGTGAGTGCTTTTACCTCGAGCTAAAAGGTCAGCGCAGCCTAAAATGGTTGCAGAAAATGACACCAGAAGTCTAAGAAAAGTGGTTGGATACACATACCAAATTCTCTACTCTAGACTCGTTTCTTCGCCTCTCTAGAGAGGGACAATGTTTTCTATTTAGACTAAGGACAGGGCACAACAGACTTCATCAACACATATTCAAATTTTGGGTGTAGAAATCAAGGAGCTGCAGCTTGGAACCTGAAGATGCTGAGCATGTGCTCACTTTAACGCTGTCAACCGTGTGCTGCCATATTTTTTTATATTTTTTTAATTGCAACATGTCACTTAATCAGATGCCGTCTCCGCAGTTAGGAGTTGGCTGCAATGGATCTCTAGTACACTCTTACTCTTGCTTTACTTGCACACGATCTTAGACTGCTGTTGGTCCATCTCTTGATGTTGGCCTCCCACTTGTATCTTGTCTATCCTTTCTTTCTTGTCCTCACTTGTCCCTCCCATATGGTTTTTAAAAGCGTGTTATACTGTTGCAACATGTACAAAGTCCTAAGCTGAGACGCATTAGAAAATGACGTTTCATCCACAGGTGTACATCGTCCTTATCGCTGTGTCCGTTTTCTTCATACCCGCGTTTATCATTCTGGTGTGTTACCTGGCCATTATCATCATCATCATCAACAGCAGTCACCTAATGGACAGTGTCACCAATAACACTACCAGCACCAACGGGGGTGAGTATTATTGTGTGACGAGTTTCTGACACCCACACGAGTGCGTGAGCTGGGGGTCTGACTGACTGACTGACTTTCTACCCCACCAGGACATCACACAAGCGACAAACACCCGAAGACTCAGAGTGCCACCATACGGATGAGGATCTTCCTTGGAGAGGTCCCGGAAACCGCGTTCAACCGTTAAGCTATATTGCGGCCCCTGGCAACAGCCATCGTGGGGCTACTAAATAACGAGAAATTGCATCACTCAAGGGGGATGAAAAAGATAAATAAAATCGGAAGACTTTCATTCTCTCTCTTGTTGTACCCCACCAGCACATCACACAAGCGATAAACACCCGGTGACACAAAGTGTCACCATGCGGATGATAAACACCCACATAAAGGTCGCAGAAACCCCTTTGAGTTGATAGGTCATGTTTATAGCCCGGCTATGCTCAGTGCCCCCGACAAAAGCCAACAGGGGCTTCAAATAACAAAAAATTTCATCCCACATTGGGACGACATTTTATATTTGGAGGAGTAAGCACGCATGGAAAATAGCAGTGACGCTGACTGTGATAAAAGAACACAACAAAATATAAAATAACATTATTTTGTGAGAAGATGAGATCAAATATAAGATGGTAGAAGATAGTCAGTTGTCCATCCTTTACAGGACGTTGCAGAACCAACTCCAACAGCTCCTGGCTGTTGTGAGGTTTTTTAGGCAAATATGCGTCCAGTAGTTTGCCATTGCTCTCTGAACGGTCGGCTTTCTTGATACCACAGTCGAAACCAACGCAAGGTGCATGTCCTGCAGCTGGGATCGAACCCGGCATCCCGGCATTACGAAGCGTTCGCATCGACTTAGCCACAGAGCCGACTGATAGTCAGTACTGAATATATATATATTTATATATATATATATATATATATATATATATATATATATATATATATATATATATATATATATACAATTTACAGCTATCTTATAAGACTGCAGGTGACACCTGGCTGGTGAAACCGTGACAGACACCCTAATTAAAACTTCTTTGCAGGTTGAACTGGGTATCTGAGATCTGCCTTGTTAGTCTGCCGTCCTTTTGAGATTGTGTGGTTTTTTTTTTTTTTTTTTTTTTAATCACAGGATGCAACAGAAAAACCGTTAGGTTGCAGCCCGGAGGAGACAAACTAATCGATCGATAGACGCTCTGTCTACACAGTAAAAATCAGTCGTACAAGGTAGTGGTCTCCAGTATTTTCCAGTACCCATCCCCCCCTCCCCTTCTCTTTTTTTTTTTTTTTTTGTGTCCCTACGGAGTATAAGACAAGACACCCCACGCCCTCTCCCCTTTCTTTCTTCCCTCATAACAAAATGGGATCCATAAGATAGGAAATTTGTTCTTAATTTATAACTACATACAGGTGTTATCATATTCATTATATTTTTAACAATAAGTGAACACACCGCTAAGTTGGAGATCACTGCCCTTTGCGCAAGAGATAAAGGGCTTGCTTGCCGAAGTCTTGAGTTTGAATCTGGACTTTTATTGTACCACAAAGAAGCCAATATGCATCATTTGAAGGTTGTTTGTCAAAATAATTTAGGAGGCATACTGCTCTTTATAACAAACATATGATAATTGTGGTTTTAGTTTCTCATTGCCCGTCGTTGTTAGAGTCAGCAAAAAGCTTCAGCTCTAACGACTATCCCCAGGAACTTTATCACGCATAGAGTTCTCTCGCGAACCGCATGGCTCTGTTCGACAACAACAAAAAGAACCCACGGCTTTCAAAGTGCGTGGCCAAAAAAAAACTTAGAAACACAGCCACTTGTCAAGGAAACTCCTGGGTGCAATAAAATCGATCCTTTTGCCTAAACCAGTTAAACCTTTAATTTAAACAGCATTAAAATCTTACGAGAGACATTAGCAAACCAGCTGACGAAAAAAAAAAAAAAAACCATTCTGAAAACATTCAATGTTTTATGTACGGCATTTAGCTGTGAGTCACAGAAAATAAGGTTTTCGGAGACTAAATGTTGCTGAATGTCTTAACGTGTTTAGTGTCTATGGCCAAGTGGTGTGGCGCATTGCACTGCAGTCTCAAAGTCATTGGTTCTATTTCGGACTTCGCAACTTCGGTTGCCGAGTGCAGATATTTTTCAGGTTCCCGAGGGTCGTTGTTGGAGATATAGAAATTCCTGCTTTCTGTGACGCTGTCGGCAGGTATACAGACATGGAGAGAGAGAGAGAGAGAGAGAGAGAGAGAGAGAGAGAGAGAGAGAGAGAGAGAGAGAGAGAGAGAGAGAGAGAGAGCCAGACTGTGTAAAACCCCGTACAACGAAGTCAATCCTGTTTTTAGTTGTGAGTTATGATTTGGGTTATGTTCACGGCACCCCGGACCCATTCATAGGTGCTCAGATCCCCCTTTCAACATATACGTCAATCTTCCGTGGTTAGTAGTACCAGTCCTCTGCTAGTTAAGAAGACTTATTTTACGTCTGGTGTCCTTCTCATACTTGGCTGTTCCGATCTTTACTCCTAATTTTCGCTTTCTAAGCAGTGATGTGCACACGCTGCCCCCAATATCCTCTGATCGTCCTGTCTCTTTGAGGGCATTACCAATGTCGGCGTGATCCATAGACCAGTCATCTGCAAATAAGGATATCCGACTATTCTATCAGCTCTTTCACTGTCAACAACACCCATATTACCTGGAACAAATAGGAAGGTAACTCAACGTACATTAAAGTTGCGCAATGACTTAATCTACTGTCTGCATAGCAGTCCTGCCTCGAGTTGCCGGATCATGCTCACTGAACCCTCCCGTGTCTTTGTTTACAACAGACACGATAATTTTATGATCAAACAGCAGATATTTGCAGAATTCGGTGATCATCCCAGGTCGTCGGCAAGCCATTTAGTCACAGGCAGCTTTTCCTTCACACGACATTCAGTTGTAATATTTTATATAGTAGTTTACCGTGTTACTAGTTTACCGTGTTACTTTTCTCCACGCAGAGCTCACAGTTTTCGTTGCAACCCCTATGTTACGTATACTCTCAACCTGCGGATCCAAAACAATGGGTTCATATCAAAACGCAGCCCGACATTTTTCAAAACTGATCATCGCTCACAGGTCGACCCGGCCTTAAATGGGTACCAGATGAAATCGAGGGAAGTAAAGGCGACCAGCGTGAGGTTCACCACAACACCCACCGAACGCCTATTGTTCTATAAAATATTTTTAGCCCTATATGCCCAAAAGGCATGAAAGCGTGTAAAAGGGTCATTTGTGCCGTATAATAGACCGAGAGAATGATATTATTTACCTTTATTATTATCTTTTATGGGAACATGGGGCGTGTGTACTTTTACAAAAACACTTAAAGTCATAATTTTGTTTTTGAATGCCCCCCTCCCCCACCCCCTTTCCCCCTCACCACCCCAGATGTATCAAGGGATAGCAGCTCTCGGTCTAAACGAAATGCACAGTGTCAAAGTTCAAGAGGCATCATCCCACAAGCCAAAATAAGAACCATCAAAATGACCTTTATCATTGTTTTTGGTAAGCTTTTACTTGTGGTCAATAAAACTTACAGCACAGTCCATTCACTTGTCAGAGGCGTATGGGGTATTAGATCATATGAAGCCATGTTTGTATATCAGTCCATTCACTTGTCAGAGGCGTATTGGGTATTAGATCATATGAAGCCATGTTTGTATATCAGTCCATTCACTTGTCAGAGGCGTATTGGGTATTAGATCACATGAAGCCATGTTTGTATATCAGTCCATTCACTTGTCAGAGGCGTATTGGGTATTAGATCATATGAAGCCATGTTTGTATATCAGTCCATTCACTTGTCAGAGGCGTATTGGGTATTAGATCATATGAAGCCATGTTTGTATATCAGTCCATTCCCCAGGTCACTGCGAGCTGTGGATTTTATGTGGAGTTTTTTGCCCGCTGCTTTCCGTTGACTGCACTTAAATGGCGGATGGCCTGTTACGTATAAAATGGTGTAAAATTTTGCGGGTGTAATGCAGGCTTTCGTAATTGATTGTTTGTGCCAAGAGTGAACTGCAAATCTTGCGTGGGACTATAGTTGTTGGCACAGCTGACAGCTTTATTTTTTTTTTTTTTTTTTTTTTAACTTTGCGTATGGACAATCTTTAAGATTTTGTTGGAACTGACAAATTTTTCACAATGAACAGTGAAGGAATGTGTCTGTTTTCTACTGGCGAGGGAACAGAGCTGTTATGGGGCGACGTGTCTGTAGGTAGCGATATGGGAAACTCGACTAACAACTAACGTCTCTTTAAAAGTCCTTGTTTATGCATTTTTTATAATTTCAGTTTTTTTTTTTTTTTTTTTTTTTTTTTTTTTTTTTTTTTTTTTTTTTTGCCTTTTGGCAAATAATTATTAGTATTATAATTATGCTTTTGCATCATGATTAGGTCCTTTGAGGCCCTATCGCCGCCATTTGTCTAGAAAATGTGTAAGGCGGAGATGGTTGGATGATGTAACAAATTCTCGCCCACCTCACCCGTATAATTTCATTGTTTCAACGCCCCTGTTATGTAATACATACATATCATTTGTAAAGAGTTATTCACGTTCTTCTCGATCACGGCTGTAATCCCAGCAGAAAGTTTTGGTTTTTTTGTCCACTTGTAGACTGTGGTCTTCTTCTATAACCTAACTTTTACATGTACATCCTCGACTCTCAGCAGATGAGCCCCGACTTCGAAGGATACATCACAAACGGTCGACTCTTATTATAAGCTTGTTTAGAGAGCAGTGGGTGTGTTCTGTTTTCCACACAACTGGGCATCAGAACCCATAGGGGATTTAGAGAGTTAAATCTGAGGGCACTCACTTTGTCTCGATAATTATAAATATATTGACATTTTATTTCTTTTGATTTCCATGACTTGCCAGTATTCATCATGTGTTGGAGTCCCTACTTTATATTCAACCTGTGTCACGTGTTCGGAGCATGGCCTCGTTCTGACACGGTCATCAAACTCACAACATTCATACAGAGCCTGGCGCCTCTCAATTCGGCCGTCAACCCAATCATCTACGGGATCTTCAGCACACGAGTGTGTCGCTACATCAGGTACATACAAGCATTTTACGTATTTTTCCGGATTGGGTATATATTACCTTAACTCTGCATGCGTTTTTTTTTTTTTTTTAATTAAAACTATCCGAAGTCCTTCAAAAATATTAAATGATCTATTCCATTTCGTTTAGTATGGTTGATAGGCAGGCTGGTTTTTAGTCCTGCTACAGTTTTGCTTCTAATCGTTAGCTGTTGCATTTTCATCCATGGATGGACTGAAAGTTCCGTTGCCTAGCTGCTAAGTAAAGTGCATGGCGCAACACTGTAGATTTCATTTGGAATTCTTTTCCACTGTGCCCAATGTGGTTTTTATTGTCAACTGAAGATTAAGAAAATTTTCGTACTGCTAATCCCACACTTACTGCGGCTTCCATCTGTTGTCCGCACTGCTCAAGAACTTTCCTGGCTCATATTGGACTAATCAGCCAGTGATCCTCAGTGATCATTACTACTTTGGATGAAAGTAGTTTTCATCGCTCAGTATGGACGAACAACAACATCAGGTAAAAGACCTGGGAAGTAGAGGCGGCCGGCGCGATGTTGACTACATCACCCACCGAGGACCGATTGGTTTATATGCCCAATACGCCTGAAGATGAAAAAGAGGCCCTTTATTTGTCTAGACCTGCACGTTAACGAAAAACGATATTTTCTATTTACGGACATAGAACATAGAAGGCACAGACACAAAAAAAAAATGAGCAGACAATGCTAACAGCGTGTTGGTGTTCGTGCAAGCATTGTTTTAATATTTCTAATGTGTAATTAACAGGAAGGAGGACAGGGACCGACCAACACAATGATGGGTACAGGATATAAGTGACTTCTTGAGTGTGGGAGTACATGAGGCGGGATAGCTAGCTAGAGACCGAGTTTCTTTCAGGCAGACATGATAAGAGCTACGTTCTACAAAAGACTTGCTACATGATGATGATGAATGTGTAATTGCGTTTGTGATGTTATGTTCTATGCAGACGAGCACCTGTGATGAGCCGAGTTCCACCGTCAGTGAGTCGGTGCTGTCTGAACAACAATCCTGCCACTCGAAAGGAATCTACGGCTGACTACACGAGTATCAGTGAAATCGATGATTTTAGGTAATGTTACAGGGATGGGGACCAGTTATGTAGAGCGTAGAATGAAATAAGTTTTTGAAAGAGTTTGTAGCTTTCTGGAAGTTTCTGGTAGGCTGGCTGGCTGGCCGGTCGGTCGGTCGGTTGGTTAATCCATTGGGTGATGATTACTTTGATAACTGTTTGACTGGATGTTTTAGTTAGTTGGAGGATTGGTTGGGTGGTCATATTAGTTAATTAATGTATTTACAGAATTGATTGATAGAGGTTTGGTTGACTGAGTAGTTTTTTTTTTTTTTTTTTTTTTTTTTTTTTTTTTTTTTTTTGCTGATTGACTGAATGATTGATTACCTGGTTGGGTAGTTTATTAGATGGCACAATCCTCTCGAAGGTTAGTTGTTACTTTTCTGCTTTTTCATGCTCTTTGATTCACCTGATTGGTTGTTGCTGGGGTGTAAGTGTTCTGCATTGCTTTTACCACCCATAGTGGAATATGTTCAGCAACCCGTTTCTCCAGTCGTCGATCAGTTCTGCCCACATATGCAGCGTTACAGGTGCATGTAAATTGGTATATACAGTTAGATCAACATGGATGATGCATTTCGAATTATTTACAATTCGGCTAACCGTAGATTACTACGATACGCGGAAGCTTCCGCTATCAGCCGGTTGAATCCAGATCTCTGTAGGCAGAAAGAAATGGTAGCTTCCTTAACGTTACCTTGGTGAAACAGACAGTGTAGAATGTACTCGAATTTGTGTGTCAGTTTTTAGGATTCAGCTATTTGCTTCATTTTTATCACTTGTTACTGTAGTATGCACCTGACGAGATAGAGCGAAATACGCCAGGCAATAAATTGTGCAGTCTATTTTTTTGTGCCTTCTTTGTTCAAATATTCGAATAGTTTCCAGTTGTATGCATTAAGGTCAGTTGTATGTTTTTTTTTTTTTTTTTTTTAAAGATATTTTAACAGATGATGTGCGCGGAGTACACTAAACTTATTTTGTACAAGTCTTTTCTATGTATAGGGATATGCAATATGTTTATGCATTTGAGAATGGCGTCGAGATTGTCTTCCTGGCGTAGGGCCGATGCGCCCTCTCCGCAGGCGTGGAGGGGGAGGAAAAGGCTTGGTTCTTTAATTTTATTCTACCACATC